CAGATGCTCAGCTCTTCCAGCCACAGGGCTGCTCGCCCCTCAGCTCGTCTGCAGATGGGGCGGGGCAGGCAGGCGGTATGCCTGCCATGTGGACACCTGTGTGGGTAACGTGTGCACGTGTGCCCTCCCTGCAGAGGATCATCAGTGGAGAAGCCGCCTGGACAGATGGGCTGAGTCCATGTCCTCCCTCTCTGTCTCTTTTTTTTAAAAAAAATATTCATTTAAGAGAGGCAGAGGGAGAGAGAGAGAAACATCAATGCTGAGAGAGAAGCATCGATCGGCTGCCTCCTGCACGCCCCACACTGTGGATCGAGTCCACAACCCGGGGATGTGCCCTGACCAGGAAGCGAACCATGACCTCCTGGTTTGTAGGTCGATGCTCAACCACCGAGCCACGCGGGCCGGGCTGTCCTCCTCTCTCACAGGAGGCCCCTTCAAAGCAGGGTGGTGCCTGTGGCTACAACACATTAGCAGGACCCGCCCGTGACTCGGGTGGAAAGAAGGAAGGCCAGGGTGCCACTCGGAGGTGGGGACAGGGGAGGGGTGAGAGGGGGCTGCCACTTACTGTGGGGATGAAGGTGGGAGTGGGGGCCGTAATGAGGGGTGAAGGTGGGGGTGGGGCCGTAATGAGGGTGAGGGGTTCCACTTACTGAGCACAGCCATGATGACAATGATCACCAGGCTCAGCAGTGCTGCGAGGATGGGGACCCCCACTTTCCTGAAGGTCTCCAGGGGCGTGCGGGGTTTGCGCAGGTGGGTCCTGTCTGTGAAGCGGAGGGAAGAGCCTGCGTCAGCACTGGGAGGCCTCTCGTCCCCCTGCCCGGCCTGGGGGGCGCTGTGGTTAGCTCGGGGGTGGCTACTCCCTCAGAACTGCTCAGCTTCCTCAGCACCAGCTCCGTGCAGGTGCCCAGGCTTTTCCATTCACAGGCCTCAGGGGAGCCCCTGACCGTGGCGCCCCCCTGCCTTAACGGGGGCGCTCTAGGATGTGCCCCTCCAGCCTGCCCTGCCTCTGCCCTGAGAGGCACCGTCATGCATTTTTGCTATCACTCATCCTCTTTCCTGACTTGTCCTTTTGGTTAATCCTCCCTGAGGACATTTCCCCATTGATTTTAGAGAGAGAGGAAGAGAGAGGGAGAGACAGAGGGAAACATTGATGTGAGGGAAACACTCGATTGGTTGCCTCCTACACGTGCCCCGACCAGGACCGGGCGGGGGAGGAACCTGCAACTGAAGTACCTGCCCTTGATCAGACTCTAACCCGGACCCTTTGGTCCCCAGGCTGATGCTCTATCCACTGAGCCACACCAGTAGGGCTCCTGACTTACCTTTGATTTAACTAGAAGCTCCAGCAGGCCTGGGCCTCTGTCAGTGTGTGCCTCATAGAGGTGTGGCTCAGGGGTTGAGCGTCGACCTATGAACCAGGAGGTAACGGTTCGATTCCGGTCAGGGCACATGCAGGAGGCAGCCGATCAATGATTCTCTCTCATCATTGATGTTTCTCTCTCTCCTTCTCCCTTCCTCTCTAAAATCAATAAAAATATATTTTGAAAAAACAACAACTAAACAAAAATACGCTCTAGTGAATGCCTCTCTGTGTCAGGAACAGCGTTTGTCTTTAAGGAGATGAGCGTTTGGGGGAGAGGCAGACAGAGGTACCACTGTCAGTCCCGCCCGGGACACCGGCAAAGCTCTTCGGTGGGCCTCTGTGGGCGGAATGGGAGAGGCAGGCGCTGGACCAGCTGAT